CATGTAAGCATGACTCTCGTGTCTGTAGATTTAGATTAATAGCCTTTAAAACGTAACGGTACTCACTGAAAATGGTAAATTATGCTGTGTTATTTGCGTCGTCTGTCTGGTTTATGGGCGCAGTCATTTTGAATGACGTCACGGATCCAGGAATAGTATACCGCACTGAAGGCTGCGCGCGCACGCTTGTGTTTATGTGTGGAACTGCCAAATGACATCTTTTATGCTAATTATGTTATTACTAGCTAAAACCAGCCGCTACGCGCGGGCTTAGTGCTGTGATGCATGTGTTACCAGTTCAGTGTGTTATGCTCGCTCGGCTCGCTCTCTAATAGTTGATTTTACACTGTGTTTATTTCTTTTTTTTTGCATTAAAAAATATAAATTTCAGAGATTTCTTGCTGTCCGTAATTTTTCGAGGTCGTCCGTAACACCGTAATTTTGACTCGCGTCCGTAACAAATTACGGGCAATACGTAACAGTTGGCAGGTCTGCATTTATGTTGTTAGCAGTTATTTCATGTAGGTTCATGTTACATTATGTCTATGTCTGTCTGCTCATGCATCTCTCAAAAATGGCGGACAAGCGTGTGGTGAGTGGGCTTTTTTGTTTAGCAGTTTTTAGCAACAGTAATAACTTAAACTCAAATAACATAAATATCTGAAGTAAAAGCATCAATTTCTTGCTTTAGCACAGGGAATAATTTTCCCGGTATCGCATCGCAATTCGCGATGTATTTTCAGCCATTTGCTACGCATATTTTTTTATGAATCGCAGTTGTGCGATGCAGCCCATGCGAGATGTAAACGGAAACATACATGTTTACAATTTACTTTTATTCTCGGGCTGCTTTGCCCCTTCAATGAAACGCCACGTTACGCGATTTTATTAGTCGGTACCCTAACCCTAACCCTATCCCTAATTCTAAAATAAAACAAAATTAGACAAAAATAATAAACAATAAAATAAATAAAGGAAACCAGAGGATGTAGCTCGGGAGCATATTCTGGAATGTACCGATGAGTATGGCTTTGAAGAGAAATTTATAAGCTCGTACAAAGGTACTAATTATATCATATATATGTACATATAGGAATCAACATTGTTTTCTGTCTTTGGTAAAAGTCAGTAGATGACATTGACACAAAGAACTTTGCAATTACCATTCAAGTTTAAGAAAAGAATAATTTACCCTTTGACAAATACCTAATCTATAATTGAAATATTTCAAGAACAAATTTCAGGATTTCTAGTTGAGCAATATTTAAAGCATGCTTTTGTGGCAATACCTATTAATTACTATGAACTACTGACAGTATCTTTATTATTGCTATTCTCTTCAGGTCGGGGTGTGTTTGCAACAGTCACCCGGGAGAAAGGAGAGTTCCTGTTGCACTACAGAGGGAATCTCATTTCAGGTAATCACCTTGAGAAAGTTTAATGCAATCACTCATTTTCAGTATTTTGCCAAAAATCCAATTATTTAAAGGTAATCAAGGTATTTAAGGTATTTAAAGTAGTTTTATGTATGGTAAACAGATTTTTATTGTTTTTATTTCATAAGAACAAGAAGGATGTGAATTAGAAAGGAACTACCCAGCAAGTTGTGGCAGTTACCTCTACTTTTTCCAATATCAGGTAAAATGCTATTGGTAAGAATAATGACACTAACATTATATTGATACAAATTCAGTCTGATACTTGTTTACATAAATAGTGACAGTCACAGTGTGTAGTCAAACATATTCATACATATTTTGGCTGACATTGGTTTACCTATTGAAGTTATCAAGCATTTTATCAATGGAAAGCCCACACTGTAAACTGTTCTATGCTCTGATGCAATAGTAAGCCATGTAATAGTTCAAATTTTGTAATAGATCTATTAATATGTATAAGGTGTATGTACTATATGTGCAGAATGGCTTTATTCATGATGTGAAACTATATCTTAATGATTAAAGAAAATTAAGCTTAAGTTTTTCTTCTGGAGTCTGCTTGAAATGAAAATCAAATGTTCAACCTAATCAACACTTTATAATGATCATAATGCTATGAAACATTTCAGTGTGGATGCCACTCACTCAATTGGATTAGGACGTATGGTGAATGATGATGTGAAGTCTCCCAATGCAACAATGCGGTTAATACCTGTGAATGGAGTTCCACATTTGTGTCTTTTCGTTAAAAATGTAGCAAGTATTCCTCCAGGAACAGAAATAACATTCAACTATGGTGAAGGGGACCAGGGAATGTACTGGAGAAAGGTAAGACTTTATATATTATATGTGAATATATTCTATCGCCTGATTGTCCATTGACACATTAAATCTGCCTGGAAGAGAATCTCCTTCTGAAAGAATTATATTTCGTTTAATTATGTAAGACAAATACCTCCTTCCATTTGTATTACATGCTAACTTACAGGAACCCCAGTGTTACTTTGATATCTTTGTTTATTTTCTCAGAATGAGTCAAATCCTCATCCATTCGATAAGTGTGATAGCTAGTTAAGGCATTGCTGTTTCCAGTTTTGTAATTTATTTTTTCCTTTGTCAGTTCGTTTTGGAAGTTCAATTGCAGTTTACAAAGAAAGGAAAAGCAGTATGTTAAGGACTATATAGCTTTACTGTTTGATAACCTTGTATTATGGGTGAGCACCATACATCAGTATATTCGCATCTAGTGATACATTCAAACAAAGATATATATATTGCAATAACTCAATCTTGAAACAGCAGTTTGTGCAACAAGATTTGATGTTTTAATTAGACAACATTCTCTGAAGAGTGGCTTGGGGAAGCCATATAGGCAATCTAGTATTTATCTACATCCCTTCAGACTCAACATATATGTAAAATCGTTGGAATGTGGTCCAGTTCAGAACTATGAGCCTGGATTACATTGGAGCTAACAGTTTTATTTCTTTGAGAACTTATACTTGTCAGTAATCATTGTACAGCCATGCCAATTATTTGCATTTTTGATACCCAAATAAATTAATAATGCAGACATAGGCGAAGTCGTCAAGGACACTGTGACAGACGAAGAAAAGGATGCAGATCCTCAACAGAATGGTAAGAAGAGAAACTACCATACATTTATGTATTTGTCAGTCAAGCTTACTTATAGCGTCCTGCTCATAGTTATATGAGTGTAGTGATTTGTTGCATCTCGACCCATACGTTAAGTGTACTAAGATATGTGTGTTCCTGGTCAAGTGTTAACAAGCTAAGAATAATCCGATCATCCACCTTCGTTCATTCTAATCATATTTGTGCCAAATAGGGTAGAAAGCTCACTCACAGTTGGGCGTGTCCTGACACTCAAATTATACAGTCTACTGTATATATAGATTAGTTGCATTGTCCTTGTGGGACACTGTTCTGGATGTCCCACAAAGACATGTGTATCATATACTGAGCAAGCATACATCAACAAAGGCTGCTTGATGGCAAGTATTAACAGGGGTTTTCATCATCTGAATCTTCTTCTCTTAGGGTACATCCATATAAGACAGATTTCCAGAATCTCGTAAACAAAGACCCCCATTTTTTAGCCGAATTA